CTAAAAAAAACGTTTTAAATAAGTAAAACTTCAAAAAAAAAGTTTTATCTAAAGTCTCTTTCTAAACAAAACATTTTAAGTAATCAAAAAGACAGATTGCTTCAAAATATCTACTTTTTTTTTATTTATTTTTAATCGTTACTGAAGCTATCAAGAAGGCTATTCAAGATTTCATTTTTTTCTCGCTTTTCTTTAATGAAGTCAAGAATAAATCTTCTTTTAAACTGCCAGTAGAAGTTCAGTAAAATTCTAAAGGTTTAACAACTTTAAAGATAAACAGGCTAAAGGAATACCGCTACCTAAAAGGCTTTATAAAAACAAACTGGGTGATCAAATTTTGAAATTTTCTGCTTTACTCTAAAACGCAGTGAATAGCTAGTTAAAAAAAATTCAAGAAACAGTTAATAAGTATACCTCAAAGTGGTTGAATGATTGTATCATTCTTGCTAGAGTATTTTGGCAAAAGTTAGCCTCAGGACTTCAAAAAAGAGAAAAATATTATGTGCTTGGTTGATAATGGAATATGATTAGTATTAACTTTCTGGTTAAGTTGTTGCAGTTGGAAAGCTTCGGAAAAAATCCACTTAATTTCAACAGTAGATGTATACTTAATTATTTAAACCATATAAAAAATGAAGGTTCACGTAGTTTAAAAATATTTTGGAAAATTATTGTCCAATTATTTATCAAAAAAGTTAAAACAATGGAATAAAGTTGAAACCAGCTACAAAAACAAATGGATAACAATGGAAGAGCAGCAAACGTTACATCAGGTGTGCAAGATGAGTTCTATTTTAGTTTGATTAAAGTTACAAGGCAGCCCATTTAGCTGTAAACTAGACATTATTGAAGTAGATAAAGATATGTTAAAATGAAAAAAAAAGTTCAAAAAATGATGTTCTTTATTTTAGGGATACAATGTAGGTCACTGTCGCGGAGATCTATTCTGTTTAAATACATGATTGTTGATATAAAAATACAAACCTCCATCTTATGTCTACCAAAGAACACGCTAATAACCTAGATGTTCTACATGGAAAGTTCCCACAGTAATCTCTATCACATATGATAACTTTTATAGTCATTTTCCATTTTCAATAGTATATAACAAACTGTATGAATTATTTTCATATATAATGCCTAATTTTTTTTGTTACTTATAAATCGTAAGGTATATTATTGATAAATTAAACAGAAAAAAATTTTTACTTTTCTTATATTTAATGATAATAATAATTTCATCTATTTTTAAAAATGCCTATTTTTGTCAATATATGAACTTTTACTAAAATCGAAGTAGAAGGCTAAATAATTAAAATGAAATAAAATGATTATGATTTTCAGAATCAGCATGAAAAACTAATTAAGAAAAATTGGTTAAACTATAAAAAATCTGAAAAAAGATGATTATGGACCCACCCCTACCTCAAGGGGTCTCAAAATATGTTCAAATTATACAAGTTTTCAAATTATGGGAGTTTAATCCTACATATTAAACTCTGAAGGGGTTCCAAATGACCAATTATTGCAGTTGTTTTCGACTGATTTTTTACAGTTTTTGAGTTATTGCACTTTAAAGTTGCTAAATATTGCAACATAAATATTTTTTTGAACTTTAACGTGTTACAGTTTAATACTTACAGAAAGTGGATTTTTTTGTTTCCTTTTTGTACTTAGGGTGACCACTTGTTAGAATAATCAAAATTATACATTAAAAATTAATTTAGCACATGCGTATATTTTTTATTTATCTCTGAATGAATATATTCAGTTTTTTTTTATGACATAATGTCTTAATTTGCACTAATAATAATGACATAATCAGTGTCATAACGTATTATTGTAGAATGATTGGAAGAATAAAACTAAAAGATATTGTGAACACAGATGTTAAAGTGTTAATTCAAAGAATTGGACACACTTTTGAACTAAATGAGGAGATAGGTTTTCACCATGGAAAAGCCTATATTTCTAGATATGAAGTGATTCAAATACTGCTGAGATCCATTTAAAGTCCACAAGAAAAAATTATTATGAGATTGTATAAAGTCGATATTTTAACAGCAAGTCAACTTAAGATAAAGAGTTTAGTTCTTCAGACCTAAATAAAACAGATTTAAATAAGAGTGCTTCTTTACTGGAAATATCTCCTCTAAAAAATGTAAGTAAACTTGACATTAGAATATGGAAAGCAAAAAGTTAAAAAACTGGAAACAAGTGACAAACCTAGTAGCATCAGCATTGGATATAGACTCAAAAGAAATAATATCTGAAAAAAAGCAAAAAGGAATTAACGGTAATGATTTAGAAAAACTTATAGATGCAATAAAGGAAAAATCAGTTTAATTGAAGAAAAAGTTCAGTTACTAACATTAACTCCTGATAGTTTGTCAATTAAAAACTTGCAACGCATTTTCAGTTTCAGACCACCTTATTAAAAAAGCCAGAAAGCTGAAAAATGAAAAGAGAATATTTGCCAAACCTGAGGCTACAAAAGGACATCCTTTGGAGGATATTGTTAAGCAGAGTCATTGAAATGTATGAATCTGACGAATACACTAGACAATGTCCAGGAAAAAAATATTTTGTTTCTGCGCGTATAAATAATGTTAAAGTTCATAAACAAAAACGCTCAATATTAGTTTGTTTAAAAGAACTTCATCTGGAATTTAATAAGTTATACCCTGAACACAAAGTTGGATTCAGCAAGTTCTGTGAACTAAGGCCAAAGTGGTACTGTTGATAGTAGTGGAAGCCACTCAGTTTGTTTATGTTCTTACATAAGCCATTTAATATATTACTTTGTAATATATTAAATGGCTTTCTTAAAAGCCATTTAATATATTACAAAGATTTAATGAAAGTATGTGTTTGTAATATTGATAGTCGAAACTGCATGTTTCATCTATGTTCCAACTGCTCTGGTAAAATAAATTTGAAGACTTACTTGGAAAATGTGTTTGAAAAGAATGATTTTGATAATCAGATCACATATAAACAATGGGTGTCAACTGACCGAACTGCACGCATTACAGTCCAAACAAGCATTAGTGAATTTATTGAAACTTTAAGTGAAACTTTGCATGACCTTTGTCACCACCACTTTATCAAAGAACCACAGTCTTCCTACTTATCAGAAGCAAAACAAACATTAGACCAATATACCTGCATTATTCTGATGGATTTTGCAGAGAACTATAGTTTTCTTGTACAAGATGCTATACAAGGATTTTACTAGCAAACCGATCAAGCTACCTTACACCCATTTGCTGTTTATTACAAAGATGAAAAAGATCATCTTAAATGTGATTGCTATTGTTTAATTTTTGACCCTCTTTGTCATGACCAATTAGCAGTTCATTATTTTCTCGCAAAGTTGCTCCCTATGATCAAAATCAAACTACCCACAGTGATCAAAGTTAAATACTTCAGTGATGGTGCTGCGTCACAGTATAAAAACTACAAATGTCTAATAAACTTAATTTATCACATTATAGATCACCAAATTAATGCTGAGCATCGCTTCTTTGCTACGTCACATGGCAAAAGTCCATGTGATGGAATAGGAGGTACTATAAAAAGAGAAGCAGCAAAAGCTAGTCTACAATTACAATTTGTAATTGTAGAATCTAATTTGTAAGCAATTACAAATTAGATTCTCACACCACAAGATCTGTTTACATAGGCTCAAAAAAACATCAAAGGTGTTATCATATTTTATCTTTCAAGTGATGATATCAATAACCATGAAGCAACTTTTATCCTTCAGAAACGATATAAAGGGATGCACACAGTTCCGGGAACAAGAAGCTATCACTGTTTTGTACCAGATGGAGAGAAAGTTTTTATTACGAATCTCTAGCGATACTGTCTATGATACTCATGTGTTAAACAATGTTAATTTGATTTGAAAAAATCCAAGATGTTAATGTAAAATTTATGCAAAGAAACAAATTAAATTTAAAATGGACAAACAATGCACGATCAAGTCAGTGTTGGGTTCCATTTGACAAGATAATATGTCAAATAAGTGTTCCATTGATTAAAAGTATAAGTGTTCGTGACTATATTCTTACTAGTAATGAATTTGACAGTATTATGAGTTATATAAATCAGAGATAAACTAATTAGTTCATGTATACATACTTTTTCTTTCAACTGATTATCTTACTCTTTGAATGCATTTTTTTACTGTATAGTTTGTATAAAATTTGAGGTATAAATTTTATATGTGGTAAGTGGTATTTTTTTGTTCTCCTTATAAAAATATCATATCCTCTCAAAGGGCTACAATCGTGTCATAAGATAGAGTATAGGTCTTTAAATTTTGTTTGGTGTCTATATATAGAACCTCAACATTAAAAAGTTTCATAATTTATTTCAACTGTTTACGCTACTTTCTATGTAGATGTAATTTATCATAATTTAAAAAAAAAGTGATTTTTTAATAGATTGCTACATGTGCTAAATTAATATTTAATGCATAATTTTGATTATTCTAACAAGTGGTGACCCTAAGTACACAAAGGTAACAAAAAAATCCACTTTCTGTAAGTAAGCATTGAAGTTCAAAAAAAATATTTATGTTGCAATATTTAGCAACTTTAAAGTGCAATAACTCAAAAACTGTAAAAAATCAGTCAAAAACAACTGCAATAATTGATTATTTGGATGAAAAACTAATACCCTACAAAATTTCAGGTGATCACCATCTTTATTTAAAAAGTTATGGTTTGTCAAAAATCAAAAAAAATTGCTGTAAGTTCCTAATACACAAATTTTTCGGATTTTGGTCATTTTTAATTCAATCATAACTTTTAAACAAATTGGTCAATCAAGTTGAAATTTTCTGGATTGTATTTTTTTCATAAGATCTGTGCGTGGTCATAGTTTAAAACAAATCTGAGATGATACCCTGGGGAACTTTCCAAAAACTAGGTGAATTGATATGGAATAACCCAAATAAAATTGACGTTAAATAACAATATAATGAAACATACTTGAAATCGATCTCTGTTAAAATAAATAAAAAGCCATGTTGTCAAAGTGGATGCAAGAACAAATGTTGCTAAAGGAAACTTAGCATAACTCCACCACAGTACAAAATCATATTGCCAAGTATCAGACTTATATTCTGGAAAAAAAAAATAATTTAATTAAGCAAAGATATAAATCAATTATTATAGTTGCATAAATTATTATAATTTTTTTAAATTAAACTCACCATCTTCACTTAAAGAGCACCATGCAAATAAAAACATCATCGACAGATTAAAGATACCTAGGGCTTTCATCTTAAAAAATCTTTTTATTCCCTGTAATTCAAGAACTTTTTTTATAAAAATGTAATTAAGAATTCAAGAACTCTTTTAAAATTCCTAATTACATTTTGGACATAATTTCATAAAAAATTCATGCTTCATAAACAAATGGTTAATAATAAAAATAATAATAATAATAATAATAATAGCAATAATAATAATAACAATAATAATAATAACAACAATAATAATAGTATTAATAGCAATAATAATAATAACAATAATTTCATATATATACTTATATATATATATATATATATATATATATATATATATATATATATATATATATATATTATCATACATACATACATACATGCATACATACATACATACATACATACATACATACATACATACATACATACATACATACATACATACATACATACATACATACATACATACATACATACATATGTACATATTAATGATATATAAAAAATCAAAATCATACATAAAAAAACTTTACTTGCATTTTATAATGAAGTTGTAAGTAAATAATTAAAATTATTTACTTGAAGTAAATAATGGTAAATAATAGATGAATACTAGGGTGTCCAAGAAAAAAAATATTTTTGAATTCAACATTGTGCACTATGTAAATCCTCCTTATTTGGTCTCAGTAGACCACCATAAAAATATCTGGGCTTAAAGTCACTGTTTAGCTGAAGGTGTTTTAGAAAAAAACTGCATATAAATTTTAATGAGATTTTTTTGCATTTTTTTACTGAAACTCTATGAACATATTTTAAAATACAATAAATTTTTAATAAAATATCCTTGATTAGGATGTTGAAAAACAGTAGTAGTATATATTGTATACTGCTACTAGACTCATAATTTAAATAGCATACATTTAATTACTTCATTACAATTTTTACATATATGTAAAATATGTATAAAAAACTGTATATTTTGTGATCAATTCTGTTGTATATTTTAGTATAGAAACTAATATTAAATATGGCTAGTGCAGGATATGTTGGAATAGCTAATGAAAGAAGAAGTCTTTATTTGTTGGGGTACCCTTGCCAAATATTTTCTCCAAATAGATTTCCAACCGGTGAGGAGGTTTGTCGAAGAATTTACTGTATTAATCGGACTCATGCAACTGCAATCAAAACATTATCATCCAAAATTGGATGTCCTCTAGCGAGTAAGGGCAAGCCTAAATGCAGTGGTGGTATGTGTTATGCTGATAACAGAAACGAAATATTAAATGTGTGCATCATAAGAGAGCTGGTTAACATTTGGAACAAAGCAGGCTTTGATGAAAATTTCATCCACAGTGAACGGTTGATTAAGTAAGCCACTAAATATAAAGTCTCTTGTCATAAAAATTAAATATTCTATGAAACACATTTATCTATGAAATATGTTTACATATAAGTTTTGCTGAGGGGTTTATTTAATGTTGTAATTTTTTAATTTAGGACTAGAATTATTGCTTTGTATACACAGTATATTAAAGTTTTAAAGATGAGAACCCTTGAGATGAGCAAAGAAACCATGAGCCAACACACTCAAGAGTTCTTAGACAAGGCCAATGTTTTGTTTCCTATACACAAGGAAGACATTTTCAAGTTAATTAGCCAGGATCCTAGAAGAAGTAAGGAGGCTGTAAAAGAGAATTCTATTTTTTTGAAGAGATGTTTGAAAGGGGACATGGTCAAGATGTCCTACAAAAATGACAAAACATTTGCTGAAATAGTTTCTGAAAGTGAAGAAAGGATGAAAAATCTGCTGATGAAGATGATAGAAGAAGAGCGACTGGAGGAGAGACTGAGAGCAAATGTTGAGCAAAAAAAGAAAACCAATTACTGGAAAAAGCAGAAGAAGAAGCTTTGAGAAATTTTGAGCAGGAATTCTCCAGTGGATGTAGTGGAACAGATTATGATTCAGACTTTGAGTCAATCCTTATACAAGAAACATCTAGATCTTTGGCCTAAGATTGAAAAAGGTGTGAATACATTGGCCAAAATTGAGAAATTTGATTGGAACAGACCTGAGTTTGCTTTTGGAACCCTCTTTTACAATCTTGCAAATGAAACCATGGAGTTCTGCACAACATCTCTAAAAACAAATATTTTTGACAGAGGTGATTATAAGTATTTATGTTAACTGGTAGCTTTTTACTTCGGAGCAGATTTATTGAACTTCAGGTTTCTACAACCTGGTGCACATCATGAAGCAAGATTTATGATTCATTATATCTGTTAGCAATGCAAATGACCAAGAATTACAACAAGCAACTCAGTGTCAATAAGATTAAAATGATACAAGATGCAACAGATTATATAGTGATCTTTCACTGTTTATTCTTCCAGAAGAGCCCAATGGCATCTCAGGCTCCATCCAATGACCTTAAAGCATTCAAGATTTTATCACAGATTATGATAGATCCACTTTACTCCAAAAAGTACGGAAAGATTGGCAAAGCTCTTAATCTTAGGATTCTCAGACACACTTATTATTTTACACCACAGTTTGTTATCTTTGCTTTAGCAAGATAACACACTGTGGTAGACAAAGAACAACCAGAACCTTTTACACAAGTTTGCCCCCTCTCAAAACTATCAGATTTTGTTTCTCAGGAGTCTTATCTCTTTTTTCTGCATCTTGGTATAACCAAAGATGACATTCTTGCACGGAAAGAAGAAGGCATGTCAAATTTGGAGAAAAATCTCAACAAAAGATCTTTTAAGACATTTGTGTCCAGTGTACGTCAGTTAGCAGTTATTAAGGGCTAAAAGACACATCAAATTGGCGCAGGATTTCATTGGCAGAACACATTCCGAAGACAGGCTCCAAAACACAATGATGGTGGTTTTAAACCGGCAGAAGGTGTCTAAACATGCCACTAAACAAGACTTAAAGAATGTTTAAATAAAAAAAAAGCACTTTATGGCTGTATTTATGTTTTTGAAATATATTTTTTCTAACAAAAATTGAATAATTTTTGCACCAATATTTTTTTTTTGTATTCCATAGTATTTTATTTTAAAAAACATTTCAAAACAATGCAATTTTAATAAAGAATAAATTAGTTATGCATTTTTTTCAAAGTTGCAGTAACTATAGCAGTCAGAACTAATGCAATGGATGATTAATATAAACTTGACTTTATTATTTTATAAAAACATTGAATACTACCAAAGTTTTAATAAAAAAAAATGCAAAAAAATCTCATTAAAATTTATATGCAGTTTTTTTTTTAAACATCTTCTTTAGCTAAACAGTGACTTTGAGCCCAGATACTTTTATGGTGGTCTACTGGGACCAAATAAGGAGGATTTACATAGTGCACAATGTTGAATTCAAAATTTTTTTTTCAATGGACACCCTATTGAATACAATTAAGACTTACCTTGTATTGTATTTTAAAAATGTATTGTATTTTTAAAATTTATGACTTTTTTAAATTAACCTTTAAGTATGTATACTTAAAAATACTTTGAGCAATTTTTAAATTATTTAAAATCTTTATTTATATTTTTCTTTGAATCATACAATTTACTTTCTATATATATAAACACATATATATATATATATCTTTTATATATATATATATATATATATATATATATATATATATATATATATATATATATATATATATATATATATATATATATATATATAGACAACCCTTGAAATTTGAAAAAATGAGGTAGGTAATAAATAGCCGATCTCTTTTTTCCTATATAATAAAATAAATTTGACACAAAGATGTTACCATAAAACATAGAAACAAGGTCAACAATTTTTTTTTGACATTAAACACTTTTAAGTCGGCAGTTATGTTGACATTGTCGAATGCCGACCCTAATTCCAATGGATATATATATATATATATATATATATATATATATATATATATATATATATATATATATATATATAAGTATATATAATATATATATATATATATATATATATATATATATATATATATATATATATATATATATATATATATATATATATATATATATGTATATATATATATATATGTATATATATAAGTATATATTCACCAAATTATATATAATAATGCTTGTCATAATTTTTACACAAATGGTATCATCAATAACTGGAATAACTTGCTGATTGCATGCAAAAAGGCTCCATTGGTTAATGTGTAATCATTACTTTCATATCTATCAGTAAACAATTTTCCAAAAAACAGTCTATTTACTACTCCTAAAAACCATTGTAAAAAGATTTTGTTTAATGTCTAAGCCAGGTCAAATCAGGTCAAAAAATCTTGTATATCATCTCAAAAACTAGGCTCTTGTGACTGGAAAATTTTCAACAGTATCTATAACAAGGGCAAATCTATTATTCCACTTCTTGTATGGTGCAGATTTTGTCACCCCACCTAAAGACAAAGCTGAATTGTTTGCTTAGAACTTCTCATCAATATCATCTCTTGATTCCACTAGTCATGTTCTACATGATGTAGCCAATTAACAGGTTAATCCATTGCCTGACCTTCATATCACTCCAGTTTCTGCATATAATGATTTCCTGCTTAGACTCTTCTCTAATTTGTGGTCTGGACAACATATCTGTTTTAGTCTTGCAGAAGTGTACTCCAGAGCTGTTGTCAATTTAAATAAATTTTCAAAACTCTTCAACAAGTGCTTCTCAGAGTCTTGTTTTCCAGCCTGCTGGAAGGCGGCATCTGTTATCCCTATTTTCAAAAACTTTGAAGATCTGACTTGTCTAACTACTGTCCCATTAGTATTATTATTTTCATAAGCAAGGTTTTTGAGTCTATAATTAACCAAAACTTAATCTCTCATCTTGAATCTAATAACTTATTTTCTGATCATCAATATGGATTTCAATCTACTTGTTCTACTGCTGATTTGTTAATGGTAATAACTAATCTGTTTTATTGTGCATTAGATAGATGTGGAGAGGCTAAGGCTATTGTTCTTGACATTAAAACTTTTGATTAAGTTTAAGATGCTGGTCTTCTCCACAAGCTCTCTTCTTA